TTTTTTTTTTTCAGACAGTGTGCATCAGTCAATCGAAGCTCTGTTGTTTGTTTTTAAATGCCTAGCTTAGTTACAGGGTTTGCGTGAATTTTTAGGTTTCAAACCGTGAGGAAATGTCATAACAGTTGGTTATCTTTCAGATGGGGCATGTTCAACCTATGCTGAAACTTGAGAGTCTCTTCTGCCTGTTCTTTCTTCATCCGTTTGGTAGTTCCTGCTGTTGTACACAGCACGTAGGATTATTGTAAGTGAAAGGAATTAAAAGATACCTGTCTTTTATCCTCATTGTTTTACCTTGTGCATTTGATAGCACTTTTTTTAATATTCCCATTTGCTGGCTTTCATCCTGAGAGGGCTTCTTTAATGTTTCCAGCACTCACTGAAGAGCTGAGGTGTTAGCCGACTAACTAACCACAGGTTAAAGTAAAAAAAACCACAAAAACAACACTTCCATGTAATAGTAAGGAAGCAGGAAAACTCTTATGTGCTGTGGTTAGTTAAAGGAAATTAAAAATAATTGCTTCATCAGAAACTGTTTCTAAAAATCCCATAAAGTAACAAAAAGGCTTTTCTGCTGTTTATTATAATTCTTGGGTGGTGTTTGTTTCTTAACAGGATTGAACTGGGTCTTGAAGAGAATGTTACTGGTTTCACTCGTTTTAATTATCCAAAGGGAGAGTAAGATAAGTAAAGAGAAAACATAAACAGTGAGAATTACATTAGCTTTTAAGAATTCTTGTGGGTGATATCTTTTATTGGACCCACTGCATGGTTGAGATAGATATGGAGAAGCTTTCAGATACTTCAGAACCCTTCCTTGGGCATCTGGTATAGAAGCAGATACAGCAGTTAAGTAGCAGATGTAACAAAAGCTTATGTAAAACTCCATATGTCCCTTGAGAATTATGTTTTGTTTCTGCACAAGCTTAGGAAGAAGATGACGCAGTGTAGTCTGGCTTTTTTCTTAGATTTTAAGGCTTTTTCACTGTTAATTCTCTAAAGCGTTGCTTGTAGTGTTGATAAACAGCTTACAACAATTATTTTTAAATTGACCCTTTGAAGAAGAAAGTGAATTGCTGTAATTGGTCATAATGATTGTTGTATTGCCAGCTCTGGCAAATTTAAATCTTCTAGTTATCTGCATAACTATGCAAGGTAGCATCTCTGCTGGTTTCACTCATTACAGAAAATTAGTGAAAGGATAGAGGATAATGAATATATAGAGGAAAAAACTTTACAAGAAGCCCCTATGATCTAGGTCTATATAATATTGTGATGGAGACCAGTGGCTCTCAACCTTTTGAGACTCGGCACTCCTCAGAAAATACCAGCTTTTAGTTTTAATTTGTTTTTTGCCTCCAGAAAAATAAGAAAAACTATCCTTCTTTTGCAGAAAACTCAAAAAGGTCACAACAGTTCAAAATGTTTTTGACACGGTGGATTCCTATTTGAAATCTCTGGATTTATCTTGTGAA